AAGCTTCTGCGTGAATACCCTCTGTATATATATTGATTACAAGACAGCAATGAGCAAGAACTTAACTTGGCTTTTTATAATCTTGAGCCTAAAAGTGGTATCAGAGCCAAAAACCTCTAACGAGTCTCCTCTGTCTTACCAATGGCCAAAACCTCTGGAACCTGCGACAGCACCTCCTCTTCTGGTGCGAATTCTCCAACCCATACTCCTAATACCAGCAACCCGAACTCTGCAGCCATAGACCTCCACCATGCTGCTCGAGGACCCATATCCTTCAACTCCGCTGCGTTTCCTTTTAAGCTAACCCCCACCAATTATCCCTCCTAGAAGATGCAATTCACGTGTCTTATTGCAGGTTATGACTTACTTGGCTTTCTGGATGGCTCAAATCCGTGTCCTGTGGCTACGGAACCCACCTATGCTCCCTTGGGCTCGGCAAGATCAACTCTTACGCCATGCACTCATTACTTCGGTTTCAGAGAACATCACACCCTACATTGCTGCGGCACCCACTGCTCAACATGCCTGGGAAACGCTAGCCAACCTCTATGCAAACCGATCGCGTGCTCGAGTGATCACACTGAAGGAGCGACTTCAAAACATGCGCCGTGATGGAAGATCTATCTCTGAATATCTCCGCACTCTAAAAGCGGTGGCAGACGAATTAGGTACGATTGATCGACCCCTTTCTGATGATGATTTAACAGTTTATATTCTGAATGGCCTAGGTCCAGAATTTCGAGAGATTGCAGCATCTCTTCGAACGCGAGACACCTCTCTATCTTTTGATGATCTCCATGATCGGTTGGTGGCTCATGAAGACAGTCTCCGACGGGAAGATACTAAACTGGAAACCACTCCTCTCACTGCCCACCTTGCTAGAGCAGCCACAACACCCTCTTCCTCCGTCGTGACCTCTGCTGGACTGTTGCCCACACCTCACCAAGGTCGGTTCTTCCCTCCACCACATCGGAACTATCGAGGACCCCTGTCCTCCAACAGAACCTTCTCCGGGAATCGACGGCGTGGATCTTTTGGCCCGCCCAACAATCGGCCTACTGCTCAAGCCTGTCAATTGTGCCACAATTCAGGCCATTTTGCCCACAATTGTCCGTTTTACCGGGTTCAACAACACCCTCCGCATGCCAACTTTGCATCCTCTCCCAACATTGCGTCTGAGGATTGGCTCATCGACTCTGGTGCAACTCACCATGTGACCACGGACCTTGCCAATCTCGCCTTGCACTCTGAATATCTTGGCCCTGATGAACTTCAAATTGGGGATGGAACAGGTTTGAAAATCACACATGTGGGAGATACCACATTACCTACCTCTTCAACCTCTTTTTCTTTACGTAATGTTTTATGTGTTCCCTCTGCCTCTAAGAACTTAATCTCTGTTTCTCAATTATGTAAACATACTAATGCCATTGTTGAATTTCACCCTGATTACTTTTTGGTGAAGGATCGAAGCACGGGGGCGACACTGTTGCGCGGTCCAAAAATACATGGAGTTTATCAACTCCCAAGCAAAACTAAGCCTGTGGCTCTGGTTGGTGAACGTGTCTCTTTGGCGAACTGGCATGCACGCTTAGGTCATCCTAATACCAAGACCATAAATTCGATATCCCGTGTTTTTAAATTGCCTATTTCTAATAAAATGGACTTTTCTTTATGTGAATCTTGTGCGTGCTCTAAGAGTCATAAGTTACCCTTTTCGCATTCATCTATCACAAGTCATGCTCCACTAGAACACATCTATTCGAATGTTTGGGGTCCGGCCCCAACCGTCTCAATTGATGGCTTTCATTATTTTGTATTGTTTATCGACCATTTTAGTCGCTACATTTGGATTTTTCCCATAAAATACAAATCTGATGTCTCAATAATTTTTCCAAAATTTAAATCTCTTATTGAAAATCAAATTTGGTTCTTCAATTAAAAATCTTCATTCCGATGGCGGGGGCGAGTACATTGCCCTTCGTGCTTTTCTTTCTCAAAATGGTATTTCCCATATTACCACACCACCTTATACCCCTGAACTCAATGGTATTAGTGAGCGTAGAAATCGACACATTGTCGAAACAGGCCTCACTTTACTCCACACTGCCTCCTTGCCCTCCAAGTTTTGGTCCTTTGCCTTCCAAACTGCTGTCTACCTAATTAATAGGTTGCCAACAGTAACCTTGTCCTCTATATCTCCCTTGGAAAAATTATTTAAAGTCAAACCAAATTACCTAAAGTTGCGCATTTTTGGTTGCTCTTGTTTTCCATGGCTTCGTCCATATAATAATAATAAACTACAACCTCGCTCTCGTCCTTGTATTTTTTTGGGCTATTCCCCGGATAACTTGAGTTACAAATGTTTTGACATTCATTCTGGAAAGTTTTTTTATTCACGACATGTCATTTTCAATGAAAACCACTTTCCCTATCATACTCCTATTCTACAAAACTCTCTCTCCAATTCCACCACCCACAGCTTTTCTGATTCCTCCTTTCCTCATGACTTCTCTGCACAGCCAGTTCCCAATGACATGGTTTGCCACCGCCCAGCTGTTGGTCGCACAATGTTGCCTCCTTGTGCTCCAGTTCCCCATCATGCGGTAGTCCCTGTGTCCACCGAACCAGCCGATCCTCACTCCCCAATCACTCCGTCGACTCCTACCTCCACACCTCATTCTCCCACTCAAAGCCCCTGTCCAACCTCCACCCCTACCGTCAACCCCACCATAGCTGAACTGGACTCCTCTCCTCCTACATCCACCAACCACGCTACTTCTCATAACCTCTCACCACCATCGCCTCCCCCGCCTATACGGACTCATCCCATGGTCACCCGCTCTCAAAACAACATCTTTAAACCAAAGACCTTACATCATGCAACCATGGCCTCCCCACTCCCTTCACCTGAACCCACTTGTGTGTCTCAAGCAATCAAAGATCCCCATTGGAGACGGGCCATGTCTGAGGAGTTCAATGCGTTGATTCGTCAAGGGACGTGGGAGCTGGTACCCTCTCACCCGGATCAACATGTTCTTGGCTGCAAGTGGATCTTTCGGATAAAACGGGGTAAAGATGGGTCCATTACACGCTACAAAGCACGTTTAGTTGCCAAGGGGTTTCATCAACGGCCAGGTTCGGATTATCTCAACACCTTCAGTCCTGTTATTAAACCCACTACAATCCGGA